GATGAGCAGACTTTATTTCCTGAGGAAGCTGAGATCCTTCAACGTGTGCTGCAAGATGTAAGAGGTCTTCTATCAATCTGTTATTGCCAGTGCCATTTTCTTTGCGGTAGTGTGCTGGGGAAACAGCATCAGAGCCAGCGACACTGACAGACTCAACAAGACCATCAGGAAGGCTGGTTCTGTTCTTGGTCTCAGACTTGAGGCCTTTGAGACTGTTGTGGAGAGGAGGACACTGATCAAACTCTTAGCCATCATGGACAACGATGAGCACCCTCTCCATCATACTGTAGACAGACAACGGAGTACCTTTTCTCACAGGCTGCTCCAGCTCCACTGTCGTAGGGACAGATACAGGAAATCCTTCCTGCAACAGGCCATCACACTCTACAACAACAGCTACTCTTAATTATCCTGCAATACTCAAACACTGCCTGTATAAACATACTGTAGTTATTCTATACTGTGTATATTTATACTCGAAGCCTCTACTTACCCATTCTTACCAATCTTACCAATAGTGTTTACTGATTATATGTACACCAAAAAAGTGTGGACACCCCTGCCTTAGAGCAAACAACAACTGAGAGATTTCTGATCTTGGAAATTCACATACATCAAGGTTTGAATTTTTAAAGAAATGGCTAAAAGACTACATAAAAACAAAGTTGACTATAAGATGTTGGCACAGCCTGTTTTGAACACATGTAACGAACAGGTTTTAAAAAAAGAGGTTCATGAATATTTTCTTATACCTGTCATACTTTGCCTAGACAGCAAAAAAAATATTTTTGTAAGACATGTACTTTATTCAAGTGGACTCACCACCCGCAGGAAGGTTTAGGGGGGGTTGCTATGGTGCAATGTGATTTGGGTGGCGACTGCTGTCCCCGCGACCCGGTAACGGATAAGCGGATGAAAATGGATGGATGAATGGATGGACATGTAGTTTAACACAGCTTATGATGCAATTGGACACAAATAAAAGTTCTATTGACAAAAAAAACAAATTTAACACATTTTGTCCTCCATAAAAATTAAGTTCTCAGTTAAGATCCTTGTAAGTCTAGTTAAACCTGCACTCATCTCTGAGGCCTGCTGCTACAAAAGCAGCAGGCAAAACAACAGAAACGTTCTGGTTGGGTCCTTGAACCTGCTGCAAACACTTGTTCAGAATTTCAAATTTTACATGTGATGACCTCAAAAAGTCTAACAAATACAGTATTAACAGCGAAAGAAAACAATTGTATCAGAGGCATGAGAGTCAGAGTAATGACTTAGTAATTCAGTCAGCTGATTTTGCTACACAGCCAAAACATAGAGTCATAGGATCAGGAGATGGTGACTCTGATGATGCTTTGTTGTGCGCTAACTCTTCACAATGTGAGCAGTTAGCCCCAAAAGACAGCACTGACCTTATCACTGTGTCTAGCTGTTTTTGACAACTGAGGGTGTGTTATGAATTAATTCACATTCAGGGAAACTGTAACGAGTATGTAACCTGATTATTTCCTGTCTAGAATATGAATAAACTATAAAGATGAATTGTCTCCCCTATTCCTTATGGATATTAAATATATTCTATACACAATATGGAAGGTGAGATGTTATAAGTTTACTACACAGAACATTGAATGATGGTTGTGGTGTCATTATTATAACATGTCATACAAACACACACACACACACACACACACACACACACACAAACTCTATGTGATGGTATCGCTACAACCAATATGCATGAAATTAAAAAAAATCCTGTATGAAAAAAACAAAAAAAACAACCTTCCTGTATGAAAAGCTTGCCAAACCCTGACTGAGGAGATACACACAAACCCAAACACAGCCTTTGCCACACTAAGAGTATAAACAGCTTTTCCAATATTAAGCCTAAGAACACGACTAAACCTGCTTTACAACCTTTATGTTAAAATACCATTCATCGTTAAATAAATGCCCTGACTTTGTAAGCAGCTGCTGAGTATCTGATGACTGGGACAGACCCCCACCTCAACACCTCACTCCTCAGATTCCTCACATTCCCAGGGTAAAGGCCTGTGTGTTGGCGTGTGCGTGTCCAGATCTTTGTCTAGCCACACCCAGCTCACTGAAGCAGATTCTCTGTCCACTACAAAAAACACCCTGACCCAAATGTAAACCCAACTATCTGAAGCATTCAACATATGTGAAAAATCCTGTACTTTCATGGTTGGATCAGGCAACTGGAAATTTAGATTTTATTGGCAGAAGAATCAAATCAAATTATTGAAGCCATGAAGGAAAGGCAGCTTACCAGTAAGCAAATCCCACACAGGTCAAGTCTGTGTGACAGTTGTTTAACAGCATCAGCAAAGTCTATAACATCTCACCTTGTGCATTTCTATGGACTCAATCCACTGGAGTCTGTGCTCAGGATCTTCAGCTCTAAGGTACCAAACACTGTCGTTCACGCTGATGTCAAAGCGACACTCGTCAAACTCATGGGGCTGTGTAGAAGGAAGAGAGGAAATCAGGAAATATTTGTAACTGAAAACAAACAAACATCTTTATTTCATTTCAAAATACAGATTTTTGAACATTTTCCACAGACCTGACAAAACACTGGGAGGAAGAAATTACGCCTCTAAATCATTTGTCTTTTAAAACTGGGTGAAATCATGAAGTAGAGATGACACATTCTGGATGCAAGTAGATTCAATTAGTCTCTGAGAAGCCTCTACCACACAATAAACAAGAATTGTAATTAGAAACTGATGTATTGTATCTCAAAGCTGAGCCTTGAACCAACAAAGTGCAGCGGTACAAACAGAAGATACTCCCCCTATATTCCATCATCTGATCCCAGGTCAGATTTACCTTTTTTGTTCTAGGATATTAGGCAGAATCTTTCTATTTATTTCGCTTCCTCTCAAACAATGCACCACGCCCAGCTCTGAACTCCAACTTCTATCCAAAAATGTGTATCAAAGAATTCCTATGGCATATTAATGGTATATTAATCGCAGCATGTAAGTGAGGAAAGAACTGCTGTGATAATGTTTATAATCCGTTGTGAGTGGACGTTTTGAGTCCTCTCACAGATTTTGTCCTCTGGAGTACTGAGACGACAGCTTTTCTGTCAGCTGACATAACCTCATGTTACCCACATTTAATTAAATTTGCTAAATGACACCAATGTGTTGGTTCATTTGCCAAAACTGACAATAGCACTGCAAGAAAACATCTGAATAACAGACTTGAACCTGACGATCTTCCTCCAGGCTGGTAGAGTTAACAACAACATGATTACATTATTATTCGTCTAAGAAAGTTTAATTCTTCTGAAAGGATTTCCCCATGGCTCTTGAGACTGTTTTTCTCAAATAAAAAAATTTAAAATCATAAGGTGAAATAATAAACCTTCTGATCCAAAAAATCTTATGTAAGCATTTAGACAGAAAAACAGACTGATATGAGGTTTTTTTTTTCACAATTCTCTAGAGGTAAGCCCAGCCTGTTGTTCTTTGTGCAGATTAGTGAAAAACGTGCTTTTGTCCATGCAGAAAGCGCCTCGACCGGCTTTTATATTTGTGAGACATAATACATCCTAACTCCATGTTTCTCTGTTGACACAGTTTTCTTTGGGTTACTTGCCTTGACTTTTCTTCCTGTGCAACAGATCTAAGACGGACTGTCAAAATTCACAATGGGTAGTGGTGACTTAGTGGTTAAGGAAGCGGTCCGGAAGTTTTCAGGTTCGAGTCCCCCAGCTGCCAAACTACCACCGAGGTGCTCTAAGCATGGCACCGTCCGCACACACTGCTCCCCGGGCGCTTAAAGCTGCCCACTGTCCACTTTGGTGATGGGTTAAAAGCAGAGGTCACACTTCGTTCTGTGCAGTGGTGTGCTGTGTCACAATGTCATTGTACCACAAATACGGTACAATGACAAGTACCGTATTTTTCGGACCATAAGGCACACCGGATTATGAAGCGCAATATCAATGAACGGGTCTATTTTCATACATTAGGTGTAACAAAACAGTCAATCAAGCATGTCCCTATCCCTCTCGTCATTGTCCGAGTCAGTCTCGTTGCTGTTAACTAGCTGTTTCGTGATGATTCCGGCCTTCATGAAAGCTCGGACGACATTTGAGACTGATACCTTAGCCCAGGCATCCTCGATCCATTGGCAGATAGTGGCGTAACTCATTGCCTCCCTGTCTTGGTGAATGTGTTCGCTTTCAGTCATCCAATGCTCCCACGCAGCTCGCAATTTAACTTTAAACGCCCTGTAAACACCAATATTAAGCAGTTGGAATTCTTTGGTCAATCCACCTGGAATGATGGCTGTTGGAAGAATTTCATTTATTATCATTGCTTCATGCTGTAGTGTCGCTTTAAGAAACTGTTTGCTTCTCATATTATAATCGAGTGTGCTCAAAACAAATGGAGAAATTACCAGACACAGTCACACCCCCATTCACACCCACCTTCTTACTCCATACCCATCCATATACTCACACACGATCACATGATATGTAATCTGATAATTTTATAAACTCAATAAAAGTGCAGAGGAAGGGTGTGGCTACTCAGAGTTGATGAGGAAGCTGCCAGAAGAGTAAGCTGCACTCTCCCCTTGCAAGTAAAAGATCAAGACGTCTTTTGTATTGTTACTTTGTCGTCATATATGTTAGAATAAACCTGACATAACTTGGTCCTTCGAGCCGGATGCCAACAAATTAAGCAGAACCTAAGGATCAGGTGGAGGACGACTGCAGACCGTGCACGGCCAAAACTAGTGTTCTGGGGAAAGACCTGGGGAATGAATTCTCACTCAGGCCAGTACTCCGACACCTGATCCTAGGCTGCTGATTGACGGCATCTGATACCAGAATAAGATCGACGACGAGGGTGAGAAGCAATTTTTTAATTACCAGCGCATGGCTTGAAATATGGGTTTAAAATCCCTGGGCAGTAATCCCTAGAACTAAGTGGGTTGAAATTCCCTGGGCAGTAAACCCTAGAACTAAGCAGGTTGAAGTCCCTGGGCAGAAGTCCCTAGAGTACCAAAGGCCTAAAAAGAGTGAATGTGAATGTGTGACTGAGGAGGAATTGTGATCGACTCAGTCGGCAGTCTGAAACCTAACGGTGTCACAAGACCAACTTTTAAGAATTTTATTTTATTTTGTTTTTTTGAGAGTTTTTTTGTGCAGCGTGAAATAACAAAAAGTCAAAAATAAAATTGAATAAAATAAGAAATCAAAATGGGGAACTTATGTAACAAAAAGACAGATACTCAGGAGTATAAAGGGGATGTTAAGTACAGGTCAAGAGAAGCTTGGGCTGAGTGTGGCTGAATGTTGGCTTTAACAAGCTTGCGTGAGAAAGAATGGAATAGAACTAAAACAATTAAAAGCAGAAGCAATGGTTCAAAATAAAAAACTACAATCAAGTAAGAAAAAACAAAACTATATATGTCAGACCTGAGGACAATGAGACAATAGCATCAAACAGACAGAAACCTAGAGTGTGTTGATACAACAACTCTACTTTCAGATGATGCAGACATAGAAGAATGTATGACACATTCCCACCCCTCCACCCCCCACCAACCTTTGTATCCAAGTTAAAAAACCTTGGACCAACCAAAAACAAAAGATCCGACGGGAGCATGTAGAACTGTGTGCTGTGAAGAATTAAAAGGCATAACAGAATCAAAAGAATCCAGAAAATGGAAATAAATGTCAAGTGCAAGTGGCGCTTTGGCCCAGAGGCAATGTCTCTGTCATTGGTGTGGAACCCCAGGGTTCACCTCCTGGGCAAGTTCGAATCCCGGTTAGGGCGGTTAATACCTTCCAGTGGACTCACCACCCGCAGGAAGGTTTAGGTATGGTGCAATGTGATTTGGGTGGCGACTGCTGCCCCCGCAACCCGGTAACGGATAAGCGGATGAAAATGGATGGATGGATGGATGGATGTCAAGTGCAAATTATTTTGCCACCAAATTGTCCAGTAAACTTATTAGGGAGAGATGCAATGTCACAATTACAACTAGCGATTGCACCCGATGAGAATGGTGGAATGACTGTGAAAAGAATAGACAAAATAAACACTGATGTTATGGTTATGCAAGGAACAGGCACGCCACATTATTTCTGGCCATTAAATTTGAACACTGGTCTGCCTTTGAGTGTACCAACAACATTGCTTAGCAAAATAACAGATGTGTTAAAAATGCCACACAGTTCACAGTTTTATCTGCAGTTTTCTTTTAGACATTTTCTGAGTAATATTGTCTTTTTAGTATGGATATTTGCCTTCATAGGATATATATATGGTTTTCCTTTTAAGAAAAAAAAAATTCTATAATTATTTATTATATTTGCTATATTTTTAATTTTATGTTACTTTTGTATTGCTTTGCTAATTTGGTTATACGTTTCTAGTGGCGCTTTGGCCCAGAGGCACCATTATTGACATCAGATTTAGATTCAGATTTTGGTGGAGTTATTGGTGTTATACAATCTTGGGATGAGAAAAATGCTACACAGATTTGTTTATGCAGTTATGCAAATAATGCAACAACATTAAGAAATATTGCAGAGAAAATATATTTTCATATTGCCTAGATAGACCTTATAACAACAAAATTTGATTATTTTAAAATGAAATTTGTACAAAATTCTCTACGCTAACCATTTCTGAAATGGATAAAATACAACGGCTGATTGAAATAAAAATAAATACTGAATGTCACTGCAGCTCTTCAGCTGGACTGTGGGAGAGGAACTATTGCCCCTTACTCCACAATTTTAATATCACTTCACATTCCTCTCTGTCTCAGTGGGCAAACACTCAGACTTTGGCCTGTGTAAATTCTTCAGATCAATGACAGAAGTGTTCTGCTTTTCAACAGGTAAAATAGATATGTTCCATTTACTGTATGTACTGTTTCACAAAAAGGGGAGTGAGAGACAGCTCTTGGTGTACGTAAGGGTAACACATGATTGTTGTAGCATATGCCAACTCTACTGCATTCACAATGTCATTAGGGCATCAACAGGAAAAGAACGTAGAGTGAAAGTGAAAAGAAGGTAAAGAGGAAGTGAAAAGAAGGTAAGGAGGAAGTGAAAAGAAGGTAGAGCGAAAGTGAAAAGAAGGTAAAGAGAAAGTGAAGAGGAAGTTAAGAGAGATATAAGGGTCAGGTCAGACTGTTTCTAGAGGCAAAAGGAACATTGTGTACAGATAGTTGTTGTTTCAGACACCTTACAGAGGGAGCGGCGTTAGCAGTAGTCCTAAATATTTGTCTGAATAATTCTATAGGAGATATTCTGGTGAAACATTAAACACAAAATGAGACATGAGCGGTAGGGGCAATATGGGGAATTAGAAGAGGAATGGCAGAGAAATATGCAGTGGATTTGGCAGTGTGGTAAAAAACAGGTAGACTATGATAAGGATTTTGCAGCTGCATTAACTGGCAGACTGACAAAATAATCTCCTCTTTCGCCCCTGACACAAAACTATTTGGCCAAAAGAAGCGAAAAAACAAAAAACAAAACAGGTTTTCCCCTCAGATCGTGCAACATGTTAAAAAACTGGACAAGTGGAGTTTCCTCTCCTGCAAGAAGAGGTTGGTAAGAAGAGGTTGTATCAGGTTGTAAGAAGAGGTTGTATCAGCCCTTCTCATGCACAGACATGAACTATATTCTTGAATAGAAAAAGAAAAAACATTATGGAAAAACAACAGTGCACAACAAGTCAATGAAATACAGTATATGTATCCCCTGAAGGTAAACCAATTTTACCAAAATCATTGTTTAAATGGGCTGCAATATTGAGCCATGGGCCTTGCCATGTCTCAACAGGAGGGATGGTGAAGACCATAAACAAAGTATTCATCACCTATGGATTTAATAATTACTCAAAAAAATTGTGCAGCATGTCTAACATGTGCTAAACATAATTCACAAGGAAACATGCGACCAAAAAAAGGAAAGTTCCAAAAACCTAATTACCTGTTCCAGGTGCTACATATGGATTTCATTGAACTCAATAAACGTGAAGGACAAAAATATTGTTTAGTCATAATGGATGTCTTTTAAAAATGGGTAGAATTGTTCCCATCTTAAGCTGCTGATGCTATTACAGTGGCAAAAGCATTGGTCAAAAAGATTATACCAAGATTTGGTATACCACAGACCAGTGACAATGGAAATTATTACATGAACCAAGATATATCAAGCATAAGCCAAAGGATGAAAATAAATTTAAAACAGCACTGTGCTAAAAACAAAAGAAATACAAAATTCTAACTCTATGCCAGATACACCTATATCTTTGCAGGGTGACGATACGCCAATCCAGGTCAGCAACTGGGTGCTGATACAAGACATCAAAAGGAAGTGTTGGTCCAAATCGGTGGGTTCAAAGAAAAGGGGCTCAGTCCTGAGTTGTTTAACACACCTGGATGTCAATACCATGAAATAAAAGCTGGAATTCTGAACTTTTGTCTCATATTCATCTTTTGATCTGAAACCCAAATGTCTTCAGTATACAACAAAAACAAAGGAATTGCCCTTGCCGTTCCAATACTTTTGGAGGGGACTGTATGTGTGTTTTCACTATGTCCATTGGCCGATGTGAACAGAATCGGCTGCCCGGCAGAGGATGGTGTGAAGATTGGAACATGGTAGTAGGATATACAGGTCAATGGATTCCCACAATGTCAGATAAAAATGAGTACAGAGACAAAGACATTTGGAATCAATTGAAAATCCAACGTGATTTTTCCAACACCCAAAATCCGATCACTATGTCCCTGAATTGGACTAAATTACCAACGGGGAGTAATTGGAAACTCTCTGGTAAAACAAATCAAACTGAAATATATTTGGTCCTTGGAGTAGATCGGACTGGAGTAGATCTAATGGGATTCATTAGAGTAGTAATTAGGAATGAAACAACAAAACATGACAGAACTTTGTTGACACCTGTAACTCAATCTTCCCACCAATTTCAAATAAAACCAAAACAAGAGCATTTACTTCTCATAAAGGCAAAGGAGACTATGTGTGCTATGAAAATGAATGTATTATGGAAACCCTAGCCTAAGGAATTGGCATTTATCAATGATAAACAGGAGGACACTTTAAAGTAAATTTACCCACAATATGCATAACTAAATAATAAACGGTAATTCTAGCGGGTAGAAGGCCATGCTTTAAGAAACTGTTTGCTTCTCATATTATAATCCAGTTTGCTCAAAACGGATGAAGAAATTACCAGACACAGTCACACCCCCATTCACACCCACCTTCTTACTCCATACCCATCCATATACTCACACACGATCACATGGTGTGTAATCTGATACTTTTATAAACTCAATAAAAGTGCAGAGGAAGGGTGTGGCTACCCGGAGTTGATGAGGAAGCTGCCATAACAGTAAGCTGCACTCTCCCCTTGCAAGTAAAATATCTTTGTCGCCATATATGTTAGAATAAACCTGACCCGAATTAGTTTGTGTCACTTGGGTTTTGACAATATCGGTGAGATGGGAGCGCATGGAGTCGCAGATCAATATGGATGGAGATTTGTGGAAAAGGGTAGTGACCCAAGTTGGACACTGGAGTGCACTGTTGTTGTTGGTCGCCTCTCCAGAGTCAGGCGGTTGTCACTATTGTTGTTCTGGATGGTCACCGTATTGTTGTTTTGACGATGTACCGTGCGGATGTTGTTTTGTTTTTGAGTGTGTGTTTTTCCTGTATCGATAAAAAAGGAGAAATAAAGAGTTTTTGACCTATTTTAATATTAATAATTGCATTATTTGGATTAGAAACAAATATACCCAACAGCCTTTTTCTGTTCCAGCAATAGATAGAAAAAAAGTTAGTTTGATATTTAAAAATGTTTATTTATTTATGATTAATCATGATTTATAACAATCATTATTAATCTGGATTATTCCAGAGCTACCCTGTAATTAATCAGATTAAAATTTTAATTAATGACTACACAATACTTAATTTGTCAAACCTGACCCAACCAACATCAGCTATTTATTTTTTTTAATCCTTTCCTCCAGACAGGTATGCTGTAACATCAAAAACATCCTCTGGTTGTGAAATCTGTCTATAAGAAGGTCATGCAATGGTCATCTCAAGCCTCAAACCACAAGGTCATTACTGGTCAGAGAAAACCCAGTCTACCTCACAGCACTGTATCAGACATGGCCCATAAACCCCGGCTTTATTATCCAGTTTAAACTCAGTTCACTCTGACTGGAACATTCTCTTTCTTCTTGCGTAAGCACTGCCATATATTAAAGCTGCTCTGACTTTCCCTTGTATAGAACTGTTCCATCCTAAGTGAACGGAATGAGGAGGTTACTAGTCCAACACTCATAATCACAGTTCACTTAAGGGACACACAAGTTGTTTTTCTTTCTGTGAACTGGAAACCAGTTTGTCCACACCAGGTTAAAGACATGTCAGTGACAGACCAATGTGATTCAGGCACAGGTGTTATAAATAAAATTGATTTTAAATTAATCCTATAAGGAACTTTTCATATTTTTTGCATATCTGCTAAAGTGCAATGGCAGTCTGGTTTCTAAAACCTCACAATCCTAACACACAGATGTTAGGCATATTTCTGCATTCCAGACTCCTTAGACCACAGTGTCCATAAACAGCAGAAGAGACTTTAGAGAAGAAGAGGCATTAGTGTGTAAACCATGTAAACTGTTAGTAATCCTGTCACTAGAGAGATGCACAAAGTGAGACCATTTGTTTGGCCTCTGTACTTGGTGGCGGCAAGTTCAGAAAAAAAAAACAGTAAATATTTAACCAGGGTGTGGGATTTCATCTTATCTCCCCAACAGGAGGTCTGTATACTGGGCTGATCTCTATTGTGTTTGGTTTACTTTAAATGTTGGGAATGTCAATATCAGGTAGCCTGTGTAGCAAGTGTCAACTAGGACAAAAGAAATGCCTTGGAATAAACTCAAATCACTGCTGCAGTGAGAATGCCTCTGATTTTACCTGTTAACTGCAACCTCTGTACAGGTTAATGTTAACTTATTATCTTCAAGGAACATGGACCCAAGGAAGAAAAGTCCAAGTCCATGCAAATGAGGTTTACACATTGCCACTTCACGCCTAATCACGATAACCTAACGTACAAGCTGTGCTTTTGAGAGTGCTTTTGAGTACAGGCTTTGTTCCTCGTGGTTGGTTCCACAGTAAATACTCACTGTAATGACAGCCTTGCTGAGGCACAGGGAACCCCTGCAGCCATACTCCCGTTCATCCTCTGATTTGTAGTAGCTCAAAGTGTTGTTTTTCAACACCACCCATCGGTCCTGCCATCCGTGTATGTAGTTTGTCCACTGTAAATAAAAGCCAGAGTAAAATGATCAATAAACCAGTTTTTAAAATGGTCAAAAACATTTTAGTTTTAGTATAGGTAATGGCCAGTCTCAACTATAGAAGTCCTGTTGTAATCATAGTATTACTAATATGATGTTCACTATAAAAGATTATTTTAGGTAACATTTATAGATATCTGGATTTTCTGATATGACTCCATTGCACACATTTTCTGAGGAAGTACATCACTGTGGAAATAACAGTTATCATTAATAACCTAAACAGTCAACTGGATGAATCTTTCTGTTGGTACAAAGGTAATGGTCCGACTGCACATCTGCAATGTCATGTCTGTTTGTTTCAACATTAGGTAGTTGACGTCATAAGAAACTAAACTTGAGGAGATTTAAGCTGTCTCCTGGTAATGTATTTTGATGATAATAATTTTGATGATAGTATTAGGAAGATTCAGTATAAAGCCTACTCAATACATCCAAAATGGACACAGTTTAAGATGTGAAAATGTTTTGTTTTTCACATGCAGAAATTGAATATTTTTTTTATTATGCTCTTACAAGTGTTAAGTTAACTAAACATTTCATTTTGTGGACAACTTGTGTGCAGACAGCGAGTAGAATGATGCACTAAGAAGCCGACTCTAGTGAATTGTTGCTGCATGAGTCAGTATTCTACAGGGTGCATTAAGGACTTTGTGTTTACATGTATTTGCTGATTTAATGCATCTGCAAATGGGATGGTTTTGGTGGCCTACTTCAGATTTAAGACATAACAAATAATGTATATAAGGGTCCAGAAACTTTTGTGGAACCTCATGAGGGTGGCCTGGAAGAACCATGTCATCCCCTCAGAGTGGCAAAGGGCAGTCACAGTTTTTATCCCAAAGGAGGCAATATCCACCACCATCAGTAAGTTCAGGAGCATCGCCCTCCTGAATGTTGAAGGAAAGATCTTTTTTTCCGTACCGGCCAAGAGGCTGACCAGCTACCTGACTAGCAACAGGTACATCAACACCAGCTGCCAGAAAGCAGGTGTACCAGGATTCCCAGGGTGTGTGGAACACTCTGCAGTCATCTGGGAGCAGATCCAGAGAGCAAAAGGCGAAAAAGGTGACCTGCATGTGGTATGGCTGGACCTTGCCAACGCATACGGATCTGTCCCCCATTAACTAATCGACTATGCCCTGGACTTCTTCTATATCCTAATCCCACCCCACCCCGTGATCATACCAAGGAAATCACCCTTGACGTATGTTGGCACCACTAGTGACACTCAGGCACTAGTGGGGCCCAGGGAGGTGTTCAGATGAGCACGCCAGCACAAAGGCACTGGTGGAGGTGCGTCAGGCAGCAATGCCCAGCAGGCAGACCACTAGCCTGTATTTTCATATATATATATAAAATGTGTAACAAATGCCAGCCTTGGAGCCACTATTATAGATATATCCTGTAAAAAGTGTAGCAAATTGCTAGTGTAACAATTAATTTGAACTTATACCGAGGGATTGTAATTATACACTTTTCATGCTGTTAAAATCTTGCATGTACTGTTGCTTTTTAGTTTTTAAATCACATTACACAGCTGTAAAAATCTTATTTGAGTTGGCCCCAGTGATTTAAAAGCCAAAGCACTTTAGTACCATAATACACTTTTATTGCCTTCTTGTTCTTTATACTCTTTTTGTAGTCTGTATTACTATTTTTTGTCACTGTTTTTCTTTTGGGCCATGTCTCGTTTTAACAATAGGAAGCTGCTTACTTATCTCAAAACAACACTATTTTTGTTATTAATTTTACATAGCATCTTTTACACACTGTAGAAATATGCTGCTTTCAGTAAGTCGCTCGTATCGTTATAGATTGCAACAGTCTTTGTTGTTAGTGTTCTGTCATGTGTTTTAAAGTGGTAGTAATATACAATCTATAATGTAATGTTTGGACTTTTTTAATAGTTCATAAGATGTTTTACCAGCAAAGTAATTTTATGACTCATGCTCTGAGTCATTTATCCCTCGTTAACAAAAGACATGTTTTTGAAGCTGACAATAAAATCAATAGTTCTTTTTAAATGTGTTCTAGCATATTGCCCAAGTTCATTTAAATTGAGGATAACATTTTGTGAACACACTATTACTAAGGTGGCGCTTTGGCCCAGAGGCAATGTCTCTGTCATTGGTGTGGAACCCCAGGGTTCACCTCCTGGGCAAGTTCGAATCCCGGTTAGGGCAGTTGGTACCTTCCAGTGGACTCACCACCCGCAGGAAGGTTTGGTATGGTGCAATGTGATTTGGGTGGCGACTGCTGCCCCCGCGACCCGGAAACGGATAAGCGGATGAAAATGGATGGATGGATGGATGGACTATTACTAAGCCTTCTGGCTATCTATCACATTTACATTCAAAAATGTTGGTTAAGGATTTTCCTGAATAATAGAAGTAACTTCAGGTTATTAGGATTTAGGTGAGTTGACTGTTTTACTTCACTAGATCTCAAGTACTTCCAACATGGACCCTGATCTTTAGTTTAATCACAAGTTTCACATTATGATAAAGAACCGCAGAACTAGGCCAGAGCCCAGCTTCTTACAGTATTACTCTCATTTTACATTATTTAAGATTTTTTATTATTATTATTATTCCTCTTCTTAGAGCTATCCACCTTTTGCACTAAAGCATCTTCACAGCATTTTACTCCCAACTCAATGAGTCACTGTAGTGGCATTTTTCTTTGCAATAAAGCCTTATCTCTTCCTTATTGGAAAATCGGCAATATTCCAAAGGTCTCTTGCTAGTTCTTACTTCTAGTGCACCATTACGGTTCTATCTTCGTGTAGGATGTTTGGGGTTTTCAAAACATTTCTCATTCTCACCTTGCTTAAAACACCTCCGAATTCAACCGGCTGCCTAGATTCCGGCTCCACATCCTCGTCCGAACCAGACGACGAACTCTTCTCAGACATTTAAATCCAAGATTCGAAAGCAACTTGGTGCGATTCCTCCTTGTAATCCAAGCCAAACGGTAACAGCTACTTTTGGTTGTCAGTTAAAGCACGTCGCTGTCTATTTGACCTGCTGACAGATTTTTATACAGAGCAATAACGACATTAAATAAGGATGAAAAAAGAAACATCAACTGAGCAGCGTTTACAATTTCTTGAGACCTAAACCCCAGTCCCTTTCCGTTGATGACAGCTGACTCTACAACTTCACTGTTTATTTTGCGGGCTTTGTTTTGAAACTGACGATGAATGCCAAAGAGGCGAAGCTAGTTAGCGTTAGCTGTCAGACGGCTAACATTAAACAAACATTAAGTTATAGAGTAACTTGCGATTGTTGTCGTTAGCTCTCTCTTCATATGCTGCGGCCCACATGAGGGAAACGATATAACACAAGCCCTGAACGTTTTTCCTGCTGCGACTGAACTTCAGCGTGCAAACGTCGAGCTACGCTCTCTATTAATATCCCTGCTCCAATTCCGCACTCGCTTAATAGCCGTAGCAGCAGGACTCATTCGCCTGCGTCTCTTGATTTAGGTCTTGGAGACAAGAGGAGAGTTGTGACGTTCACGGATCTTTTGAACGGCTCATCAACATAAACCATGGGAACCGAGTCGCGTTTGGTTGTGAGCCGTTCTTTTTTGTTTTCGTTCTTTTTTTGGTTCACACAGATGCTCACAGAAGCTCCTCCTTGCTCCTCCGTGCAATGCAATGCCTATGCATATGCATAGGCATTGCATTGCATAAGAAATAAGCGCAACAACAACCGTGCACGCACTCCCATCAGGGGAAAAAAAAGAAGCGAGTGCGTCAGAATCGGCAGACGGGGAGATTTCGTTTCTCCGGGGAGGAGCACGTATTTCATATCCAAATCTCGCATGAGTTGTGCACGAGTCGGCTGCTGTTGAGTGTAGTAAACAACAGCAACATGGCAGGTGTCGTTCTGCCAAATAAGCCAAAGAAAAAGGAGCAGCATTTGGATGTACTTTTCGCTTGAGGCAGACAATAAGTGCAATAGTGTAAATGCAATATTTGCAAGATAAGATC